AAAAAATTTAAACATGCTGAAAGAAATTCCAAGTGAGTACTACAAAAAAAATGATGAAGCTTCGGATCTAGGTCTGTGGTCAGAAGAGTATTAGTACAGTGTAAGGTAGGGGGAAAGAAAGGGTTTTCCTGTAGCAAAATTGAGGTAGAAAAGTGTTAATAAATTCTGGTGGGATGCATGGTAGAGAAACACACCTTCAGGGAAAAAAAAGGTAGGGTGAGGACTGAAAAGGAAATTAATGAAAACAAAAATGCAATGAGCTGAACTGAAGACATTTGGTAGATCAGAAATTTTATAGAAAAGTATGTGACTTCCTTTTTTCATGTGAGTAGATAAGCTGAAACATGGATTCTGATCATTCTGGGGATCCTCAAAAAAGGGTGTATCTCCCAAGGACAAAGTAGAGTACATGCTCAGTTTCCAGGCTGGAAAACACTTTCTGAGCATCAGAAATAAACACCAAGTAAACTGTCTGGGAAAGGTATTGCATTTTGATCACCTTGGAAATTGAGAAAGCTTCTTCAGGGATAAATTTTTTCCATTATAACCAGAATGATGTGCATAGCCTCCAACATTGTCACTGTGAAAGACTGAGAAATAAATCGCTGAGTTTGCTAATACCAATCTGCTCTGTGTAGAAGGAGCATGTTCTAACATTGTTATATATAATGTAGTTACATAAAGCAATATGACAAAGTCAATAGATAGGAATCTTTTAGCAAAAATAATTTATGTAATGAGTAGTATTCATGGCAGTGTTTACAGACTGAGCTCAGTACCTAATGGCACTATTTAAAATCCTTTCAAGAAATTCAGCTTAATAAAGTACAGGCCTTTGCAAGATCCAGTGATGTTGAAATTTGTTAAAGTGGTATTTTTGTATTACATTTTAGTACAATATTGCTAATTATGACAGCTTGAGCAAATGAATAGAAAAAAATATTATTTCCTGTCTAGTTAGTCCAATAAAAAGTACAATTTTGTACCCTTGTGATGCACTAACCAAGGGTTAAATTTTGAGGAGCTTACCAGCAGTTACAGTACAAACAAGTCATCATTTGAGCAGCTAGCCTTAAAGTAACCGACATCATCCTAAGAACAGTCAACTTACAAAAAAGGTGTTTAATACTTACCCTTCAAATGGGGAATATAAACAAAATTTTCCTTAGGTGTATACAAGACTGAACTGTTGGACAGATAATATTCAATACTGAATAAATGGCAAGGGTAAGAGACGAGTCTACCACTTCTTAGAACTACACTGCAGGTAAACTGAGAATATGTATTTTCTTCTTGGAAACTCACATATCAGCACACTGGGAATCTTATTAATAGAAAAAGCTATTTTAGTTATCTAGAAGCCATTTAAAACTGTATTACTTATAATTTTCCCCTCTGAGTACTAGGAAATCAGATTAATGGTATGCACAAATGAAATCTTATACTGTGAGGTAGGGAGAACACTAACAAAATCCCTATGATTTCTTATTAAAATATGTCTTATTTTTCTTCTTAACTATTTGAAATATCAGAAATGTGAGAGAACATAATGAGGTACAAAGGGTTTTATTAACCCTTAAGTTTAAGATGTTTCATGAATAATTTGTGAGACAAAAAATCCTGACACAGCCTCACTATCCCATCTCAGCACAAAAGCTTCGGTATCACATAAAAGTGCAGTTCATTACTTCCTCTGTGTGCTTCACTACTTCCTCTGTGAATATGAGAATATATTCTATTGGATATTTTCAATTATAGCAAACACTAATGTACTAGCACTAACTGATATACAGCGACTGTACTGCAACTATGCAATCAGAGCCAGAACTGCAAACTCACCCAGAAGCCATTGCCAAAAAAGTCCCCCAGCCACACACCTGCTCATAATTTTTTCTGTTATTCCTGGGAAAACCAGACCACACAACTTTGAAACACACAATGGCTCCATTTTGCAGTTTTCTCAATTTTTGTTTACTTGCTTCCAATGAAAATACTTGCTATTCCACAAAAAGAATCAATTAAAAAGTGTTCTCATCTGTCTTCTGAAACAAATTTGATCTGTTCATGTGCATAGGTGATTATAGCCAAGAGTGTGATTTGAAATATCTGAGAATGGATTCAGGCCTTTCTTCTCTTCAAAGTAGAGCATGCCTTCTAAATCAGGTAAACCAGGAACATGAACTTCAGTTCCTGCAGATATTTTAGTGCAGAGACTGCTACAGCAGCAATACTTTTTTTCCACTAAAAATAGTCTTACCGTCTCTCATCCTCTCACACTTTTAAAGCCCTCTTATGAGAATCAAAAGTACTCCAAATATGGCTCACCAGATTAGCTTCTGCTGGATGATTTGCTGGTCTAAATTTGGCTTCAATTCTGTCTTAAGATTAAAGACTCAACAGAATGCATGTCACTACCAACTTCAACCATCTGTCATTACTCTCAAGTATGTTTTAGCTGTGATATTTACCTACTTGCTGTTGTTTTGTAAACAGAACACAAAATTATAAATATCTCAGCACTTAACCTTTCCAGAGACCTTACCTTCTGATTTAGGAATCAGTCCTCACTCATTGGTTAGATAGAACTCTCAAACCAAATCCACATCGATTATTTTCCCTATGATAATTTAGCAGTTAGATGACTAAAGTATGAGAGGTTTCATTCTGAAGCAGCATCTAAAAACATCAAAATATAAAAGACCCTTCATAAGAATATCTTATTAAAATAACGAACATTTCCAATACATGTTTGTGCTTATGTCTTCATGCATATATAGTACATGAAATAAAAGCACAGCTATTTGCAAGCATACCACCTTACATGTCAACAAAGAGAGTATTATATAAATTGAGAATAACAGCTTGTCTGCAACATATGCCATAACAACAAGGGCAGCTCCATTGCATTACTATTAGGTGGTCTATCGACCTAGGACATTCACTAAGACTGCAAATCATTAGGCAGTTTTGGCAAAAAAGTGCTGAACAGTTCAGTTGCACAGTCCTGGAGTAGCTTTTCTGTATTACTTCTTTTCAGACTACTTGGGTGAATCTGCATCTTTGTCTGGATAGGCTAGAATTAATTCTGTGATGTAGAATTGCTGTATAAATAGCATATATGGCTAATAAAATCAGTTAATTTGGTTATACAGTGTCTCAAAAGGAAAGGTTCAAATCTAAGTTTCTCCAGATGAGTTTTTAGTACAGTCATGCCCACTCTTATTTAATGAATCTTGAAAAAAAAAATTTCTGAACAAGAGTTAACTGTTAAGAGGAGGACAGTGAATGCTATAACATTGTAATATAACTACAGCAAATAGTTTTTTAATATTCACTAGCTCTTCCAGTCAAACATTTACATTTAAAAAAAAATCAACAAAAACATTGAAAGGACAAAAGCAACACCTTGGATATAACATAAATGGATGAGCGTATTGGAGCATATGAAAGTCATCCATGAGGCAAAATCACATCATTTAAAAGGAACTGAAAGAATTGTGACTGTTACTACGATCATTTGAAACTTTCTTCCTTGTTTCCTAAGAAAAGTCTGGTGTGGCATCTACATTACCCATTACATTCTGCAGAGAGTTGGTTACCTGAAACAATCTTGTTTTGTTCCTTTATTCTGTAAACAGACTTTATTAGCACTGGTAATCACTTTTTCTTTGGGAACATTTTCATTAACGACACACAATATTACAAGAAGATAGAAAAACTTTCTTAGCCTTCATCTTCCTTGATCGTTAAGCAGCAACCCCTTAAAACCTTATGTTTAATGGTTTAGAGTAGCCCCTGGAAAGGAACTATGTACTTTACTCTTTCTTCCATACCACCTGGTAGAAAGTATTTGTCCATTAAACCCACTGACCCATCAGAGATCCATGGTCAAAGTGTTGACAAAAGAGTTAGTGTTTATTTTATGTGCTTGTGTCTTGTTTATGATTTGTTAGTTTATTTAGCTGCCAGGTTGAAACTATAAAATATATCTCCATGTAAGTGGGAAATCTTCTGTGTAAAATATGTTAGTAAATAAATAAAAGACATTGATGTTACTATACTAATAGAATAGAAAAAGAGTAAAAAAGAATAGACAAGTCTAGCAGTCATTTCTTTGTTTCAGGCTGCTCACTTCCTGCTTCTCTTAGTAAAACCTATTATAACTATGGAGGGGGACACTTTAGTCTTTATCTTTTTGTTTGAAAGTCATTAGTTCTCAGTGTACATAAGGAATACCAGTCATGGGGAATGCATAGGACATTTAAAAACAAAGGCTGAGGTATTAGTACACCTGAGAGCATAGACTCGACTATGGGGGCCTCATAGTGGCCTTCAGCTCTCAAAGATTACAGCAACTCTCTTCCTCTCAAACCATTACAGTTTTTTAGACAGGCTTTTTATTTTGTAAGATCAGAAAACACAGGAGAGCCAAACACTACAATTCTTGTTATTACGTAGCTTAAAATAGCAAAGGCTATTAAGAATTATTTTCCTCTGAAAATCCTGATGTCACATTGGATATACCACTTTAATGAATAGGGATCATTACTGAACTCATCATAAAATTCAAAAGATGGATTTTAAGCAGCATTATATTTTTTATTCTTTTTTACCACAATATTATGTTTCAATTAATCTTGTTTGAGGTTTACAGTTCTGTAATACTTCTATTTTTCTTAACCTATAAGGAACATAAAACACCACCTGTTCTAAGGAAGAACTCTCCATCTACTCAAATACAAGCAATAACAACCTTCTAGAGAGATAACAGAAATGTTTTTTCCCATATTTGACATATATTACACACATGGTATTGCATACAATTTGGCAAGTAACAAATACAGCCAGATAACTGTAAAAATTTAGAGGCGACTGTTCACTGGAAAAAAGTGAGAAGGGAATTATCAGTAAACAAATAAGAATATCCATGGTTGCTCATTTCCCTGGAATATAGTTAAATGGCATAAGTATAAATTGCTGAGTATCTTGAACCAACTTACCAATTTCCACTGGGAGATGGCTGATTTGATTTTTTGACAACTCCAGTACTCTCAGTTCTTGAAATAATGCAATGTAGGTTGGAATGGTTTGTATCAATGTATTGTACACATGCCATTCTTTCAGATAGATCTGTTCTTTCAGAGAATCTGGAAATACCTGTAAATTAAATAAGAATAGGTAAGTACAAAGCATCAAGTTAGAATTTTATTCTACTATGTTTCTAAATACAGAGGGGAAAAATCCACAGCCAAACCTCAACACTTTGTCTTAATTATCCTGATGTAGAACAGCAATTTGCAAAACCCTCATAGGAGCTGTTTGATTTTGAAGAGCACTGCAGCTGTCTGTCACCACATATCCATTTTTTAACTGCTAATGCAATCATTTTTCTCTAAAACTAAAACCTATCTGAAGCATTCAACCTGTTTGACCTGTTCAGCGTCTCCCATATTATCTCCATTTTCCAGCTGGAGGATTTTTTTTAACACATTTCAGTAGTTTAATTCATACATCAAGATCTAGTAAAATGAAACATGGAACAGAAGATGAGTGGATGGAAAATATCTAAAAAGGATTTGTCATTTAAAAAATAATGTGTAACTATGCTCTTAATGCCCACCAATGTTTCAAAATCTGTGTGCCAAGATAAAATACAGTCCGAGGAATATTTCAGATAGGATACACACTTATCACCTTTTGAAAGTCTTTTTTCAAATAGGTGGCTTAACTTCCTGAGTAATTTCAGCAATATTTGAAAATTTTCAGTAAATTTCTGTAGGAAAAAAATACTCCATTTTTAATCAGTTCACAATTGCAATTATTTCTTGCTTTAGTCATGCAAAATCTTTTTCTGAAGCAAAACAGAAGAGTAAATACCAAAAAAGAGTAAACACCATCTCCAAATTCAATTAGTATTGTTTTTCCCACCTGTAGAGAATTGAAAATGCAGCACATAGCAGATAGCATTTAGCTGAAATGTCATAGATGGCACTGTAGGGAAGAACCCTGATTCACAGAGAACGCAGATGCAGAATAGCCATACTCCAGCGAAAAAGATGCCTGGGCAACAGATATCATTTGCACCACCAGATACCATTTATTTCTCCATAGTCTAGGCCTGTCTTTGTCTTTCTGCTGACCTACTGGGTTTTTGCACCTTGTTGTCATAACAGACCATCTCCAGCTCCTTACTGGCAGATGCAGCAGGGAGCAAAGGCGAATGCTTGCCCCAGTGAAGCCAACAGCCTTGTTGTCCTCCCAGACTGAAGGGACTCTCCCACGAACTTCTCCTTGACACATTGAAAACAGTGCAGCACACAACAAACTCACTCAGATTAAGATCAAATTCCTTCATAATTTTAGAAAAATTAAGCCAAAATATTTTTACAATAATTTTTATTA